TAGAGGAAATAAATATTTTCTCACGGTAACTTGCGCATTTACCAAATGGGTAGAATGCCTACCAGCTCCTAACGACACAGCACAAACAACTGCTATGTTACTAATGAATCATGTATTTTCAAGGTTTGGACTTCCCCTCAGGGTGAACTCAGACCAAGGTACACACTTCACAGCTGAAGTGATGAAAAAACTGTGGAAGATGCTAGGCATCAAAGTCAACTTCCATGTTGGCTACCACCCACAGGCCTCAGGCCAAGTGGAGAGAGCAAACAGAACTGTGGTAAGTATTTTGAAGAAATACGTAGCCGCGAACCACAAGGACTGGGACGTGAAACTCCCTCTGGTCCTCATGGCCATAAGGGCCACTCCAAACACATCGACTGGCATCTCTCCCTTCGAGATGATGACGGGTTGACAAATGACTCTCCCTCTACACCTGTTGTACCAACCAGACGATGCCGCCATGGCAACAGCCTACACAACACAACAATACATGAATTACTTGGAAGAACACCTTAAAAACACCTTTGCGTTTGCCCAGAGAAACCTGGAAAAATCCGCTGAAGGACGAAAGGCATACTATGACCAAAAGGCCTCTCACGAGGAACTCCAAGTGGGAGATAGGGTCTGGTACTACACGTTCGCCCCCACAACCTGGAAAGGAGAGTCCGGGACCGGAACTCGCGCCCGCAAACTGATGCCCAGGTGGACTGGACCCCACCTGATAACAGACTGTCTCCAGTTGTCCACCAGATCAAAATCAGCAAAGGCCAAAAAGAGCCAATTGTTAAATGAGTACATCAAAACCAGGTTAAACTACACAAGGCGTTCAATAACTCCACAGGAGACAAAGATCTCACAAACTCAGACCTCGTGGGAAAAAAGGTCATCCAAGCAGAAACTAAATAAGTCCTAGCTTGATTAAGTGTTAAAAACACCCAGACAGATAAGCGGGATGGAATCTGGCAGTCAGAGTGAGTGACGCACTGAAACGTCGTTTTCTAGTTGCTTAATCACTACTTTTGTCGATGTTGAGACATTGTTTATTGGTTTTGGTATTGTTTCTGAACACCCCCAGCAAGAATGAATTTTGTGTGTACTTTAGTTAGAGACTATGAGGACTTTAACTATGCCAACATGCAGTTCATTTGTTAAACTTCAATCTTTGAGGAATCAATGTAGATTAATGCTACCTACATTGGTCTCACGATGCTCAAGCCAAACCTACTCGAACAATCCTATTCGGGGGGGTAGCTAATCCTTAAGTTGAGTCTCGCCATAGACTCCAAAACATTTAGGGGGAAAACCAAAAAACCAAACCTCAAGTCGTTCGTCTAAAGGGACAACAGACAATTGAACCAAACTATATTTTGCCATGTAAATCTAACTTAAACCAAGTTAGGAAAGGAAGAATAGTTTGGAATGCCCTTCTATAGGTATAAATCCCTATATATAATTTTTCAGCATGACCCACCCTTTAACTGGTACCTGTAGCTGATCTAAACCATGATAGCTTACACACCATGTGCATATAGGTTAAGGTCTTATGCAAAATCCCACTCATAAGCCCACCTAAAACCACATAAATGCATGAACACATAGAACCAGAATGGCATCCACTGGGAACCACCAGCAACGACCTTCGCTGAAGGGACTTACAACTCCAACGTGGGTCTCCAAACTCCATCCAGTGGTCACCTCTGCAGTTCAATCGAGGGAACCGCTCTGCATGCTGATCAATCAACACCTCCAATCGTTGTGGATTTATCATTGTGGATTATATGACTTTTTCCAATGGATTACAGACTTTGTTTCCAAGGGGTTAAAGCATTGCTGCAATGGAATTACCAACAACATTATGGAATTACCAACAACATTGTGGAATTACCTAAACCGTTGTGGGATTAACTTCTTTGACTTTTGTTTTCCTCTTGGTGGATTACATCAACATCAAGGACATTCGGAGGCGCAAGTTCATGTTGGAATTCATCCCCATGGACAGGCGATGATTTCCAAAGGGGGGACTGTAGTGAACTAGGCCTCCGACATCAATCTGTCTCTGAAGACCTTCAAGGGACAGGAACTGCTATTTCATTGATTTGAATCCAGAAATACAAATTATCTCATCAAGAGACTATTTAATTGAATCCTGAATTTATCAATTGAAAGAACACTCTTCTTTTTTATATTGTCATTACTATTTTACAATATCTTGATAATCAAAAAGTGTGTTTAGTTCATACCATTTCTATATGTTGAAGTGAACCACTCATTTAAATCAACTGTGAAACAGTATTAATAATTTTTAAACCTCAGCAGATTTTTGATCATACAGTTAAATGCCTATTTACGAAGTAAGTGTGCATTTAGTCTTCTGTCTGAATGAGGAGTAGTGATGTCGGTCGAAAGTCAGAGACAAACAGAGACGAGTTATTAGAACAAAGTGTCTTGCTTTTAAACCTTGCAGACAGTAAATAACTTCAACTGACACCTGTGTTTGTCTCACCTCGTCATAATATTTCTCTGTCTGTACTAACCGTTTTTTAAAACATCCCTGTTGTCTCATGACTTCTAGTGACCCTCTAACATCACTAGAACCACACCCCTCCTGGTTGTTTCAACCAATCAGGAAGTACCACGTAACAGGAAGTGTATACCCCTTTAAAAGGAACACTTTGTGGAACTATTCAGTTCAGTCTTGGAGTTCAGTGCTAGAAATCAGTCAGAGTCTTAAGTCTTAGGGCTAAGTCTTCAGTCTTAGTCGTCACGAGTCTTAGTCTTTTCGAGTCTTGCTGGAACTTTCGGTCAGAGATGAGACTCACTTAAGCAGCGGATGGATGGGACCATGTGCCAAGGGGTCCCTCCATTTAGCGGAGTCACAGCTCGCATCGCTATGTCCTCAACTCGAGCAGTAAATGCTCCACTGCTAAGGAAGCTTATTCGGTGGAACCGAGTACCTCATGAGTATATGCATTTATTCTGATGACCCAGCTACTTTAACCAGAGACGCTAGAAATGGAGCGTACTAATGGACTTCTGTTCCGGAGTTGAGGGATCCCCCATCTCAGGTAACAAAGTCGCTGCATGTCCTGAAGTGTACCGGAAAGCTGATCTGGATGTCGGAGGAAGGGTGCAATGTTCTGGTTCCACACATCTATTATCATCCATCTAAAACTTTCTCCTTAAATCTATTTCTCCTCTCTTAACCTTGCTATTCGCCAGTAATCTAGATGCCTTCAGAGGTGAATCAGCCTCAATCAGTAATGTTCTGTTGTCTTGTTAGTAAAGCGTGCCAAGTTTATTCATCAGAAAAAGATCAGCAAATCAATGTGTACATGTTTTGATGTTAAATTTTGATTCTGTTAAATAAATGACGGCATTTATTCTGATGGGTCAAAGATAAAATGGCGTCTCATGTCACTGATTAAACAATCCACTCACAGTTATCTCGGTCACATGGCAGAAATTTAACTCGAAAAAGAAAAGAATCCGTTGTAATTAAACAATTAATATTCTTTGTGCTTGAACTAGCTTTATGAATAATTAATTAGTAGTGTGTCCACAGCAAAGCTGTCCTGACATACTACATTCCACATTTAATCTATTGCATTGATGTTTGGGCGAAAGCGTGTAAAACATTTACAAAGCCTGTTTTTATTTTACAGAAAAGAGCTATAAGAATCATCACCAGAAAGCATTACAGTCACCCATCAAGCACATTATTTTATTAACTGAAGTTATTAAAGTTCCATGATTTGGTAGATTATAGTATTTTATCAGTTATGTATAGGGCTCAAAATAACACATTATCATTAAATATCCAAAGAAATTTTGTTAAAAGACAAAGTTGTTATAATCTTAAGGGGATAGAGATGTTTGTCAAACCAAAATTCAGAACTAGTCTGAAGGGAAGGTCTACCTCAATCCAAGGAATTGGATTGTGGAATGGTCTAGAGAGTGATGTTAAAAATGCCAAGTCAATGTGTACATTTAAGAAAAAGATCAAAGCTGAATTGTTAAAAAAATATATGAAGTAGCTTAGTGTGTTTTTTTGTATTAGAATTAGAAAAATTAAAAAGAGTTATTCATTTTGTTCTGTTACTTGAAAATTATTATGATTGAACTAATTGTTTGAAAAAAGGGGCAGATATAATAAGATTTTTTTCTTCTTTCTGCTGCCTTTCATTTTAAATCTCTTGTATTTTTTTATATTGTTATGGAATTGTTGTTTTTTTTTTTTTAAATGAATAAACTTTATACCATACCATGTTGTGGGGCTGTCTTGGTTGACACACCTTTGCAACATCGTGTGGACATCAAGGGCAGTGCCACTGGACTGACAGACTGGGGTGGTGGTTCCCCTCTTTAAAAAGGGGGACTGGAGTGTATGCTTCAATTGTAGGGGCATCACTCTCTTTAGCCTCCCTGATAAGGTCTATTCAGGGGTACTGGAGAAGCGAGTCCAATTGTTTCGAACCTCAGATCCAGCAGGAACAACGTGGGTTCTTTCCTGGCTGTAGAACACTAGATCAGCTATTTACCCTCACTAGGGTCCTCAAGTGGTCGTGGGAGTTTGCTCATCCAGTCTACATGGGTTTTGTGGGCTTGGAGAGGGCGTTTGACCGTGTTCCTCAGGGTACACTGTGGGGGATGCTCCATGAGTGTGGGATAGGGCGTTCGGTGGCTTTAGGATTCATTCTCTGCTATTAGCAGATGATGTGGTCTTTTTGGTGGCAATAAATAATAATGATATTTTTTGCGATTTTATTTATTTATTTATTTTTTCATCTTTAGATCCTATGATGTCATCAAGTACTCAAGTTCTACTCAAGTTTTATTATGTTAATGTCGAGTTTAAAAAATTATGTAGTCGTTCAACCCCTAGTTTTAATCCAGTTGCCTGTAATCCGTGAGAACCATCAGCATTACAAGATAAGTTTCAGAGTTACTCTACATCCAGTCATGGAAAGGACAGGAAATAATTTTTCTCTTTCTTTTAGGGATATTTCTCGAGGCTACGAGGCCGTTTCTATCACTTGTGTTAATGGAGTTGACAGTGAGCCATGCCCTGACAACTTTAAATACATCCCAGACAGCTGTGTCACATCCCCTCTGAATATAGACAAAGACATCACTCACTTACAGGTGAGTCCTCTGCTTCATGTGAAGGAAATGTTCATCTCGTCGTCTTCAGGACTGTGAGGCTGCTGAGGAAATGGTCCTAATCTCTCTTCATACTGTCGTGTTGCATTAAACAATGTTTTTAATTAGATTTCCATGTAGATATGAAAACTAAATGTAACCCTGTGCAGCTTCACCTGACATTTCACTGGTTGTTTTACGAAGCACTGCAGCTGTACAGACGACTGCTCCTCCAGCACGTGCATGTGCGGCCAGCTCAGCCTGCGATGTTGGTATGACAGTGTAAGTACACACACTACACACAATCTTATTCAAAAAGTGTTGCTATGTCTTTGTTTTACTTTTAACGTTGGACAATGTTTTTACCCGTTTTGTGTGTGTGTGCATTTGTCTGTCATTTTGCTGAATACGTCATAAACCACTGGACATATTTCAATAATGGCGATTCCCCACTGTCTCTACTGTCATCAGTCCCACACCGCATCAGTTAAGGTCTTACCGACCCCCACTCAGCCCGGTTTATGGGACCTCCTTGTTCGTGATTCTAAGCAAACTGCTCCAAGGTGACAATTTTGATGTAGGCAGACAGCAGCCTTTGATTGGTCAGCGGAGTTATGTCACTGGATGATCGGCCAACAAAACTGCAAACTACATCTGAACATCCACTTCTTCTCTGTGTTGAGTGTGTGTTTTTGCTAGTTTCTGGTATGGAAGCTCCAAAAATAATGCATTCCCAACTATTGGCCGATGCTAAAATTTAATGTGAGATGGACGGTGCCACAAAAAATGAGCACATTTACAAAAAGATATGGTGGGACGATGGTGCAACGTGGCCACACCTGGACTTATAAGTAGTGTTGGGATAAGCTAAAGAAATTGAAGTCACATTAAAGGGGGATTAAGGACCACAATGAGTAGTGTGGCTCGAACACAATGACCTGTTATGATACTGCCCACTGCATTGATGATCCCGCCCACAGAGCAGGGAAACGGGTCACAGTGGAAAAGCACCCCCACCGGAGAAGAACTGATAAGATGAGAACTAAGTGGAGTCACACTCGTCAGTGGCAAAGCAGCAAACTCTCAAAAGTAATCAGTGAATCCACATTTTCTTCTTCTTCTTTCGGCTTTTCCCTCTTCGGGAGTCACAGTCACAACAGCGAGTCATCCTTCTGCATCTCTGTCCTCTGCATCTTCTCTCCTCACTCCAACTACCTCCATGTCCTCTCTAACTGCATCCATATATCTTCTCTTTGTCTTTCTCCTGGCAGCTGCATTTTTAAAATCCTTCTACCAATGTGCCCACTGTCCTTCCTCTGGACATGTCCAAACCATCTTAGTCTGGCCTCTCTAACTTTACCTTCCAGTTGTTCGACCTGTGCTGTACCTCTGATGAGCTCATTCCTAATATTTTCCATCCTTGTCAGTCCTAAGGAAAACCTCAACATCTTAATTTCTGCGACTTCCAGTTCTTTCAAGAAAGCTCAAGATCAAGAAAGCTCATCAGAGACTCTACTTCCTCAGACGGCTGAGGCGAGCTGGTCTGGGAGGCTCGGTCCTCACCTCCTTCTACAGGTGTGCAGTGGAGAGCATCCTGTGCTCGAGCATCAATGTGTGGCATGGAGGCTGCACAGCTGCAGAGAGAAAAGCTTTGCAGAGAGTGGTGAAGGCTGAACAGAAATCTGTTGGAATCAGTCTCCCCACCATCGCAGACGTCTACACCTCCGGGTGCAGGAGGAGGGCCACCTGCATCGTGAGGGACCCCGCCCACCCAGCGCACACACTTTTTGCCCCGCTCCCCTCAGGAAGGAGGTTAAGGAGCATTGAGTGTGGAACCACTGGACTGAGGAACAGCTTCTACCCTGAGGCTGTTGGACTCATGAATCTCTAACTAGAATAATCACTGTGAAAAACCATATCACGTTGCTGCTGATCTGTTTCATGTTGCTGCTGATCTGTTTCAATGTTGGTGTGTTCATGCGTGCACATCTGCTCGCGGACTCATGTTCATGTTTGTGCTGATGTTCAATGTTTTATGTTATGAGTGCTTAGTGTATGTTTAGTTGATGTTTTTCTTAGTTCATATCTTAGATGTTATTACTGTTTTTCTTAGACATTTTATTGTTGGATGTAACTGGGACCCTGTGTACATAATTTCGCTCCACCACATGTACCACATGAGGTGCGAATGACAATAAAGAAACTCTGACTCTGACTCTGACTCTTTCTCCTGTCTTTTTGTCAATGTGACTGTCTCCAGATAATACAACATAGCTGGTCTCACCACTGTCTTGTAAACTTTTCCTCTGGCCTTTGCTGACTCTCTTTTGTCGCAAATCACTCCTGAAACTTTTCTCCATCCACTCCATCCTGCCTGGACTCTCTCACCTCTTTACCACATCCCCATTTTCCTGGACAGTGGATGCCAAGTCCTTGACGTTCTGCATCTTTGTGACCTCTGCTCCTTGTTGCTTCACTGTTCCAACTGTCTCCCTCTCATTCACACACATACTCTGTCTTACTACGGCTAACTTTCATTCCTCTTCTTTCAAGTGCATACCTCCACCTCTTCAAGGTCTCTTCCATCTGTTCCCTGTTATCACCACAGATCATAATGTCATCTGCAAACATCATAGTCCATGGGGATTCCAGCCTGATCTCATCTGTTAGTCGGTCCATCACTAGAACAAACAAGA